ACCTAATGTCGGGGGTTTAAGTGGAGAGGAAATGTTTTGAGAATGATGTACAAATGCGCTTTACACAATTGATGTATGTATGGATTGCGGTAACAGTTGTACGAGCCCCTAATAAAATGTTAAAAAAAAACGGGAAAAAAAACACCAAAAAACCCTGCAGTTATTCGACCTTCATGCTTTTTCCAAGTGCTAAGGTTCTACAAGACTTCTGGCTCTTGTACTCATGGATGATGGGCTATCCTAAGACATGATTGATTTGGTAGCAAGAATGTTTCTAGGAGTTTTAACAGGGACCACTACTCAAAGCTAAAGTAATGATAAAATAAAAAATGCTAATTGGATTAAATCATAATATAATTTCAATAAGTAGGACACACTATTCCTTTGTATAATTTATAATAAGGATTTTCTTTGTTATGTATTTCTACCTACTCTGATTTTTAGTTTCAGGATTTTAAAGACGCACAAAAACAATCAAACAAAAATCCACTAGCAGTCCTTTTTCTTTAAACCCATAAGTTACCATTAGTTATGCGACGAATATGACAACCCTCGTCTCTGCTGAAAGGTGCAAACAGTAGCTGAGCGGCAGGGTACCAGTTGCTACACGAAGCCATCGCGTTAGTTTAAAGTAAACACAGAAACCGCTTCAGTGACATTTAATGTTCCAGACGTGATACAGTACTCAGAGCCTGTTGCATTTCATGTGCACACATACCAGGTTCAGTTATCAAAATAATCTGGGCCCCGAAATGGAGTTGTCACCACAGCATTTAAAGGGGTTTCTCCCTAGGTCACTAGTTTTTCGCCAGGCAGTCAGCAAAGCAGTGTTCTCACAGCCCACACTTTGTCAAGGTTTGGAGCCACCTGAGGGTAGTTGAACAAGGTCCTGGTAAAGAAACCGTTAGCAGGAAACACAACCTATGAGAATTTTAAAGCTGCAAGGCTGATCCATTCGATAGAAAGACCAGCGGTTGTCAAAGTTAGGGGCGCACACACACAATCCCCCTTCAGCTCCTGCTGTCTCCTCTGCACGGGAAAGGCAGAGTGTGAGGAAAGGCCGGAGGCTCTTTCTGCCAGGCCTCAGGCCTCCGAGCGAAGAGAAAACACTAGGAAGCAAAGGATGGAAATGTACTGGTGCGTGCATTTCTGGGTGGGACAGCGGCTGTGCACCCCATGAATTCAGCTGAAACAAATGCTTAGCCATCAGTCATTCCCCAAACATTTCCCTGGAGAAGTGAAGGAACGAAAGCCCCAAGGGCGAAACCACCTCCACGGAGAAAGTGTCAATGGGTGTAGGTGCTTCTGCTTGTTCACGCTCATCCCCGAGCTTTCTTTGGATTGACTGCATGCTTCCTGCAAAACGCAGCCTCCTGTTGGCAGTGCTCTTCTGGTCCTAGCTTTTCCTAGCCAATTCCCTGCAAGGATATGGTCTGATTGTCCCAAATCTCACCATTTCATAAACTGCAGCAGGAGTCAGCTCCAGTTATTTCCTGAACTTTAAGCACCTTGATTAGATTTCCTCAACCTTGATCACGCTGATCTTGTTTCCCGATACAATTTTTGTTCTGTCTTGTAAAAAAACCAAACTCGAGACCATCGAGTTCATTCCGACTTATAGTGACTCTAATAGGGCAGGGTGGAAGTGCCCCTAGGGTTTTCCAAGACTATATATAACTCTTTATGGGAGTAGAAAGCCTCACCTTTCTCTCTAGGAGTGGCTGGTGGTTTTGAACTGCTGACCTTGGAAAGACAGTGTGAGTAAAAAAGACTGAGGTCCTTCTCTGGGACAGTCCCAGAAAACAGAAGTGGAAAGATAGTAAGGTTGCATAGCAAAATAACCCCTTTCAGTGTAATCAAAACCTTGGTATGCACACTTCCATGGGTATCAGCAATTTGCACCAATGAATCAAGATCAGCTATGGAACTCCAAACATTGGTAAATCAGATTTGATAAAGGTGACAACTTAAAAGACAGTGCTCCACTGCATTAATAAATCAGACTTAGAACGAAGACGATACTATTAAATAGCGCATCACTGGAAACTCCTAGTAGGCATGGCCCTCCCTGATCGGTTACTTTTGAAATAACAGTCATAAGAGGAGAAAGAGCAAGCACCATGCTCACTACTGTCAGTTACTGGACTGCGTTGATTCCAGCACTGCAGTTCACAGATCAATACTCCGCGCTTCTCTTCAAGTTACTGAGTCTTTCTTCTTCCGGAACGGGGATTTAAGTCGCTTCCACACACTGCTTTTGGGTTTCGACTTTTTCTCCATGGCCAGGACTGCCTCCTTTTCTTTCCTGCGAATCTCCCGCACCAGGGCGTGGAACACATCATCAATGTAGTAGCGGTAAGCAGCAGACGTCTCAAAAAAGGGACAGCTGAATTCTCGGGCCAAAGCCAATCCTTCTTCCCTGGTGACCTTTAAAAATGTAAACACGAGGAAAATGTTTGGTGCTAACAGTGGAAAACAGTTACAAGCAACCAATAAAGCAGGTGACAGACTACCAGCCCAGGAAGAGAGGAACCCGTGGGTGGCAGAAGCGGTTAAGTCCTAGCCTGTTAGACTCCAGACTGGGGATTCACATCCATGCAGGGTGCCTGGGGAGACAGGCCAGGCACTCTGCGTCTGAAAGGGCCATCGTCTTGAAACCTGGAGTCGCCTTGAGTTGGCATCAACTTGATGGCAACAGGAATCGAGATTCTCAACTCGAGAGATATGTAGACAGAGTAGAGTGATTTTTTTTGGTAATGTCTGGGAGGCTGGTCTACATGGCTTTTAAAGTTTCTTCTGCCTTCAAGTTTTATGATTTCTATTTTAAAGATAACTTTTGGAAAGGTGGAATAGCAATAGATGTTGAATACATAATCTTATTTCACCTGACACTTTTCATTCTAAAGAACAAAATGGCAAAGAGATGTATATTTAAATTCTAATACCAGAAACTATTAAGAACTCCTAATAACTGAGTATATGAATGAAGATATTCTAAAATTGATGGCGGTGATGATTGTACAACTCTTCTTAGTATATGACTAAATTATTGAATTGCATGATTTGTGAAATATATGCCAATTACAAAATCCCAAACCTCAAAAACACCCCAAAAGACTCCAATCATGGGTAGTTCATAATTACTTCTACTATTGGACATTGAGACTATTTCTACTTCTTTGCTGTAGTAAAAAACCTAGCAATGAGCATTTTATATATGAATCTAAAAATATTTCTCAAACCAGGATTAGCTGGGAAGCATTATGAATGTAATCGCTATCTGACAGCATCCACAAACTGCACCATTCACCACTTGCACATGCTACACACGTGCTTATCTGCTACGCTTCCTTCTCAGCCAGGGTGTGGTGGCCGCAGCACTGCTAACTTGAAGGGCCCCACAGTCTAAAAATCTCCGTAATCGCTCCCACTATCCCTTCCCAGGGCTCACAAGCCCCATCGTCACAAAGGAGGACTTAGAAAAGGAACATTCCATGATTCTTCATATACTGTGCCTCTGTGGAGTCTGTCCTGTAACAGATTCCAAGAATCCAGATAAACACCCAAAATAAAAGCCCACAGGAAAACCCTCGAATTTGGAGAGAATCTAATTCTAAATTTGAAGGCACAGGAACCTGTAAGTAAAATTCCCAACAGACCACAGGGTGCATTTTCCTCTCCAGTCTTACCTGCCTGAGCTGTTTTAGGTCAGATTTGTTTCCCACAAGAACCACAGGGGTATCATCAGTGCGTCGAACTCGATAAATAAGCTGTTTGAACTCCCGAACTTCATGGAAACTTCGACGGTCGGTGATGGAGTAACAGATGATAAACCCTTCTCCAGCCCTCATGTACTGATCCCGCATGGCCGTAAACTCTGCCTAGGGGAAGACCAGGGTCATTAATTAATTGATTCATGCAATCTACAGCTGCACGCACACTAGCTATTTAGTTCAGATTAAGGTTGCATGATATCGATTACCTGCTATCCTGAGTCAGAGTGCATGAAAAATAAAAGAGATGGACTAGTGATCTTCTCCCCTTCCCTAGAGCGGAAAAGCCTTTACCCATAGCATCCTGGGATTTAATACCTGTCCGGCTGTATCCAAAATGTCCAGATTGGCAGGTTCATCATCAATTCGGATCCGGATTTTATAAGCATCTTCTACAGGAGGGAAGAAAGGTATACTATCAGGCCATAAACACAGGAATAAATACATCCTTTTCACCCTTTGTGGAGTATGACATTGTACCCAGGTTCCTTACTTCCCCCTAAATTCCTCAGGAAGCATGCAAAAGCCACTGAGCTACTAAGGCCATTCTGTCATCAATCTGTTTAACATGTGAGGCATTATACTAAGTAATTTGCATGTACTAACTCATTCAATAGTTACAATAATCTAGTGAGGTAGTTATCATCCCTACTTTATAGATATTGAAAACATTAACTATCTCCCAATCACAGAATTAATAGTGGAGCCAGGATTAAAATCGAGGCTGTTTGTCTCAAAATCTGTACTTTAACCACATCCTATAGTGCTTTTTTTAATCTTAGTATTCTGGGGGGGGGGGGCTATTTCATAAACAATCCGTTTTGTTACAATTTCTTCTTTATGAAAGCAAATTTCTTCATCCATACTACTAATCACACCTTGGAAAACACAGAAAGTTAAAGAGAGAGAAAAAGTCTACTTGCTGTTTCGACTGCTCAAAGACAATGGCTTACATTCTCCTAGCATCTAACAGGTTTTTCTGCGATCCCTGGCTTCCGGTTTTTTCCTCAAACATGGAGTCCACTAAACTATAGGTCACGAGCTATGTAAGTCATTGGGATTAATGAACTGTGCAATCGATTTAGTGGGTTGGGAGCAGGACCAAAGCAGATAGAAACTTAACATAAAATAGAAAATGCCAGAGCACATCACATGTAGTGAGGCACTAATTTTTCATGTTCCTTACATATACCTATGCGCACACATCCCCACACATGCATACTTCTACATGTGTATGTGGCAAGGGGTGCAGGGACTTGGCTTGAGTCTGCTCCTATAGAGAAGACAGGCTTCTGGAGCCCCACAGGGTCACTCGAGTTGGAACTGGCTGGAGGGCAGTGGGTTACAATGCACAATGTTTTTCTTCAGTCAGCAGGCAAAACTTTGGAACAAATATGGAATCAAATTGACAAAAACCAACTGGAAAGACCAGAGAGGAGGCTCAGGGGCAGAGACATGGGGCCCAATGGGGGAGGAACGACGGGGAAGACAATGTGGGGAAGGCTGCAATCAACATTGCTCGAGTGTGCATGCACCAAGTGCTGAACAGGGGATGCTCTGCTGTGTGTGTTCTGAACCACAAAACCTGGGGAACAAAGGGCGGCACATTACAAAGTCACCGAGCGCTCTCGGGCTCCCCGAGTCTAACACATTGCTTGGCACAGAATAAAACTGGAGACACAGAATCTGTTGTTAAGTCAGAAAAGTGGCTGATTAAAAAAAGAAAGTGATTCACCAAACTGCACTCCCTACAGTAAACAAGGTAAGAGTTCTCAGAGGAAGGAAAAGCATTTTCTGGATCTCTCTGGTCAAGGATCCTAAGCTGATTTTATTCCCAGCATGCCCGAGAACAGTTCAAATCCCTGTAAGATGCTCCAAGTTTTACGCGGCACATGAAAAACACATATGAAAACGATTTAGATTTTTTCTCCCAATCCACTTAAGTATCTATTGTAAAAAAAACCCAATCACACCCAAAGCTGAGTTCCTGGAGAAGTCACTGGTTTCATGGGATCTGGAGCAGCCAGAGGCCTTTTTCTAATGGAAATCCTCCCTAGAGACTGGAGGTCAGGGTACAGAGTCTCACTCTGAAAACGTCAATAGTTATGACAGACCTGTGCCCCTCTCCCCAACATTTGTCTTTTCTACTACGATATAATTCCCGAGACGTCCTTCCGAATCCTTATGATTCAGTTATGAAAGTACTATTTGTCCTCTCTGTGCACACTAGCAACTTAAAGAGGCAGAGCAAACACAAAGGCACATTTTCCTTATTTGAACAGGGTTTCGCCAACAATGGGTATTTACGACTGCATTCTGAGCAAACGTCAGGTATAAGGAAGTCAATGAAATGCACCCAGAGGAAGAAGTCCAGGCTCCCAGTGTCTGGGTTGTCCGAGTTCAGCAGGCTGGCTCGACTTGTTTTTCTGCTTCCGCTGGTAGAAGTTCAAACCAGCTGATTCATAGTTAGTCTCAAAATCAGACCCTTAGAGGAGTGACAGCAAGAAAAGTTTCCCACCGAGTACCCTTTAATCCGGCAACAGGAGAAGAGTGGACTAAGCATAAAAAACACGAGACAAAAGAAGTCCTATTCTGCTCAAAGACAAAAACTAAAGATGGTTTATGTACCCAGAGGGTTGAGTGGGTGGAAAAAGAAGTATTACCAATTGCCATGACACCTCAGTTGGTAAGTAAGTCTGTAGCAGACACCAGAAAAGGCTCCAAAGAAAAATCGTGCAAAACCATGTTCACCACCGACACCCACTGAAGAAGCCACTTTCTGGGGTTCATCTGGTCATGTAAATGATACTGCAACTTACCAATGGTGGGGTCATGGTCTTCCGGGAATCTGTGGCTAATGAACTGCATGGTCATGGCTTCAAAACAAGAAAGCAGAGTTAAAATCGGCCCCCAAGCGACCCACGGGAAGAATGGTTCAGTACGAACAGCGCGCGGCAGCAGCCCGTAGCTCCTGCGTTTTCGGTAGAGGTCATTTGCTTTAAGCCCGCGGGAAGCGTCACCTACCGCTCTTCCCGACCCCGCCGGCGCCCAGCATCACCAGCTTGTACTCCCGAGACAGCCCCGCGGGGCTGCTGCAGCAGCTGCCAGCCGGGCGACCTCCAGAGTCCATTGTCGTCCTTCTGGGGAACCCAGCGTTGTCCCCCAGGAAAAGCCACCTAGAAAGGAGAAAAAATTTCATCCAGGATGGACACAACGGACGACGTCCTCCAGCCGGTGCCCGGCCCACGGGTCCTTCTTCTCCGCTGTGGCTTCCTGGGAACCCCCCGAAACCCGAGCAGCCCAGTCCCATGACACACCTCTGGTTTTCCGCAGCCCGACTTTTCCTGGAGCAAAAAAAAAAAATACAAAAGACAAAGAAACCCGGATCTCCCCACCCCCACCCTAGACGGGCGCTCCGCAGCGCGAGGGGTCAGGAGACCAGAGCCACACCGCCCCTCAGCCACGGCGGGGGCGGGGGTCCTCCCCGCCCACGACCTCTTCCCAGGCTTGGCGGGGGAGGCTTCCCTCCGCCCGCCGTCCTCTTGGGGACACGACCCCCTGCGGTTCGTACCGGCCGGCAGTCGGGCCACAGCCCGGCTGACCCCCACTAGGTCTCCCTCCTTTCGCGGCGCGGCGCGGCGCGGCGCGCGCACGGACTGTGACCCCGCCCCGGCCGGCCAAGATGGCGCCACCGGCGGGAGGGCGGGGCCGGACGCACGTCACGCACGGCGTCCCCCGGGAGGCGGCGTCGCCCCGCCCCGCCCCCCCAAGCCTGGCGGTAGTGTGCCTGGGGCTCTGAGAGCCCTGGGCGTCAACAGTGAGAAGGGACACTGGCTACTTGGGAAGAAACAGTAATCTGGCCAAACGTGAGAGGTGAAATGGGTACCCAGTTTCCCCGTTAGAATTGAAACCCCCGTTCCCGTCTTAAGCAGCTGCCACGAAACGGGGTACTACAACTTGAATGTGAAAGGTCCACAGTGCTGGCCACGGTGGGTTGGCATTGGCTGCTCATCCTAAGGTCAGCATTTTAAACCCACAGCCACCCAGGGGAAAAGGATGAGGCCGCCTGCTCCCCTACTGATGTTACGTTGGCCAGTCCCGTACTATGCTCACTTGAGCCCATTGCTGTCCCCAAAGTCTTGTGATAAATTACTTCCTGTAAAGAGGCACAGGGTCAAACTGGACTCAATGGTAGTGATTTCCATCGAAGGCTAAACATTGTTAGTTTCAAACACCACGCTGTAGCAAGAGCCTGTGAATGAGCACGGAGCACACAGGCCAAGTGGAGGCACTTGCACAGCAGCCCTCTAGAGAGGGGAGGCGCACGCAGCTATGCAACCGAAGGAGAAGCTCCCTTGAGGCAGCTCAGGGCAGCTCCTCCATTTCCAAGAACGTCTTCCCCAGAATGTTTGCTTCACTCCTTCCTTTAATCCCGATTAGGATTGTTAAACTAGCACCATGTCCATCCCCACATGGCGATTCCACGGGTCATCAGAGGGCAGCTGTGTCCGAGGGCCTTCCGACAGCGTTGGAAGACTACTAGGTTTTTCTTCCACGGTGCCTCTGGGTGCACTCCAACTTCTGTTTTCTGGCTGTATTAATCACCCAGGAGAAAAAACCAAAAGAAAAATCACCCAGGAAAGTGAACATGAAAAAGAAAAAAGACCAGGCAATTTCCTTCCAAAACAAAGCCAATGAAAACTATGGACCTTTATAATTTTATTAAGGGTTCACGAGGGTGGAAGAGGGAAGGAAAAATGAGTTGATATCAGGGGCTCAAGTAGAAAGAAAATGTTGGCAACATATGCACAAATGTGCTTGACACAATGGATGTATGGATTATTCTAAGAGCCCCCAATAAAACGATTTATATAAAAAGACTATGGATCACAAGGTGCTACGGGTCACCCCATCTGGAAGCTGGCACGGAGGGGTCACCATGCGTGGGCTAACAACGAAACCCAACAATGGAAAACACACAGCATTCATGACCTTAATGTCATGAATGTCATTTTGGAAAGTCATAAAACCATTGAAATGATATGTAAACTTTTGGATCCTTCCCACCTCCCCCATGAGGTTATCTATCAACCGAAAGGTTATGAAGTTAAGGTTAAGTGCATGGTTAGCTTATGAAAGAAAAAACAGAAACAAAGCTGAATAGTTGTCCATTTATTTATAATGAAATTATGGTCTAAATATTTACAACATTTAGCAAACCAGAGGACACGTTTATACAAAGCCAGCCTGCCAAGTGTTCAAATGTGCAAAAATGACAGTTCGGTATTTCAAACTACTTCTGGTTCAGCAGACTAGCTCCTTCACTTTCACACATCAATGTCTGATACAAAAAAGTTCTTTTGGCAAAACTGTAATTGCCAAGAAAAAAGGACAAGTTGCAACTTCAGTCACTAAGTCCACCATCCTATTGCGAGCAGTCAAATCTCTCTAGTTTAGCTGCAACCACTTCTGAGAGAGACAGACCACTGTGTTTCATTTGTGATGAATTCTGACCAGCTTTTGGTCAAGTCGTTTCCTCTGACCCAGCTGAAGACAAGGAGCTGAGAAGGGCAATTTTTTAAAAAGCAATGGCCAAGATAAGTGTGCCTGAGGGGGCCAGCCTTTGGATCATCCCAAAAGTAAGACACAAGGAAAAATAACTTCATTTTCCTACCCAGGATCCAGCTATAGCCAATAGTTTGAATTTAGTACAAAAGCATTTTCTCTGAAGAATGCAAAAATGAAACATGAATGAGGCTCTTACAATTAAGTACTGAAAGTATAGAATGGCCTTAATATCACTACCTTCCACCCAATAAACACGATTTGTTTCTAACCAGTTATTATTTTACTAAACAGCAGTAAAATCAACCAAAACTTTCTTCACAACAGAGTAAGGGCTATGTGTCTGGAAAAGGCTAGGCCCGGTCACATATAAATGGGATTAACCAACCTTGTCTGGGTGCTGTGTGCAACAAGCACATTTCATCCACTGTTTAAAAAAAGCTTCAGAGACAAGTGTGTTTCTAAGTAAATTTTAACAGATGCTATGCCACTGCAGAAATAAGGATGTTAAGAGGAATGGAGCCCGTTAGGAAGGGGACAGTGTTTCTCTAACTTCAGCAAAAGTCCAAGATGGTTCTCCGTACAGGCCCCCGAAGTCTTGTTTAAATCAAATACATGCATTATTGCTACAGAAGAGTCCTTGAGAGTCAATGTTCTGGTTCAGTGTTTCCTACGGGGCCATCCAGAACGGCATCTGTGGCTTAGCTCGTGGCTGCGAGGATGGGAACTGGTAGCCCAAACTCCAGCCCTGTGGGAAGCTACTTGCATTTTTATGACCTCCGTGTTCCTCCTCTTCATCAGATGAGTCTGCAGCATAAGCTACCAAGCCAAAACCCTTTTCTGTAGTTTTCATCTTCTTGGCTGGATAATCTAGGAGAGAGAAGATACCCCACGCCCATACCCCACATAAAAAAAGAAAAAAAATACCATAAAATCGTTAATTAAAAAAAAAAAAAGATGTTAATTATAAGTGGTTAGTTGGACACCATTTTGAAGTCACAGGGTCAATGGTCACCCCAAAACGTTGATGATCACACGAAAAACAGCACCAGCATCAGCAAATGTGAATCCACCAGAACCATGTAAGAAAACAGAGAAAGAAAAAAAGAAACACAAAAAAATAAAATAAAAAAAAAAAGGAAAGAAAAAAAAGGAAAGTTAGCAAGTGAGTCTCTGGGGGTTGATAATTCACCTTTTAAAGAGTTAAAAGAAAAGGAGTTAAGAAAAGAAAAATGTACTTTCTTCTGTTCATTTTTATTATGACTACAAGCAACAAACAAAAGGATGATTGTGTACCTCTAAGGGTTCAGAGTTCTGGGATACTAAGACAACATTTCCCTAACAGGCTGAGCAGCATCAACCCTTAGAGCTATGGACAGGAGATGCGGCTCAGTTGCAATACAAAGAGACCACAATCTGTAGTAGAACCACATCGGGTGCCGCTGGTAACTCACTAACACTGTGCAACAACCCTCCAATCACTAGGACTACTTCCTATGGTGTTAGTGTCACTGATGCTGTGTGTGCAACTTAAGTCGTCTAGCTCTCTTCTAGACACAGGTTGCACAAGGCTGCGTAACCGTATCATCTGTGTTAAAGAAAAAGTGTTCTTTATTAGCCAGTAGGTCAGAGGTTGGATTAAACACAACAAACAGCCCAAGACTCCCGCTCCCCAGCTACACCTTACTTACCATGGCCCCCTGCGAAGACCCCAGGCCCATCCCTCTCATCAGACTCTGCTTTCATTCCAGTCCCCGGGAAGGCTGGTGGAGGCATCAACTGCCTGTTGAAAAACGGAAAAAATGTTCTCTCAGATTCAAATCACTTTTAACTTACCAAGTAGATTAGAGCTTTGATCGCTAATTAAAATTCTTTCCACTTGATACTTCAGGATATTATCACACTTGTGAGATTGTAAGGCCTGCCAAAGCAGCCAAAATGGAACCGAGCGGCCAGTTCCCAGTCAGGAAGGCAAATCTATCACATTGGCAAGGAGGTGGGCTCCCCATTCAAGTACCTCCATCTACAATATCCCAAGTAGTAAGAAAATGGTCAAGATGCAGACAACGAAAGCCCAAGAAAGACGTCTGAAGAATGAGCAGGTACAAGATCATTTAAAGTAGAGCACAACTTCTTCTAAGCCCGGGAAAGGTATTACCATTTTCCACTATTGCATCAGTTACACAAACGCGATCCAAGTGTGCAGCAATGATCATTACTATCACGAATGGCACAAGCAACACCTGAGTGGATTCATTCAATCGCGTTCCAACAAACTCACCTGTCCCTCTCTCGCTCTTTGCCAGAGGAACTTGCTGGCTTGGGTCCTGCACCTTCCATGTCACTCTGACTGGAGAAGCCTGTACCTAAATTAGTCATATGAATGGGTCCATGCTATGAGCAGAAAAATACAGCGGCATTAGCAAATCTACAACTGCTGCATTGGCTTTAGCTCCTTAATGTAACTCTCAAGCGCCTCATCTTTCTCATAAATGGCAGTAAAGTTCAATTGAATCACATGGCTGAGGGATTTGGAGCATAACTATGGTCAGAGCAGGGATGCTGGGATTCATTTTGTTGTATGTCTGTCTGTTTTCAACCGATCACCCCTAATTCAACTGGTGTCTACAAATTAGCTATAAACTATTAAAATGCCTCAAAGAATGCTCTTACAGATTCTGGCAAAAAGCAATGGTGGGTCTTCATTGCCTCAAAACAAAATATGTGGCATATTTTAATAGCCTTTGGAAATTCTTCAATGTATACCCACAATTATTTGTGTGCCCATGATTAGTCCAGTTCTCCCCCCCCCCCCCTTTTCTGGCATCCTTTTGCAGAGAAGAATGGAGGGGACATCATCCTTTTGGGGGTGGGTGGAGTGTGTGGCTAACATTGAAAGCCATAGTTTAAAATATAACGACAGCTCCAGGTGGAATCTTAGAGATGAACCATCATGGGCTTTCAAGAGTGCGCTATGAACGTGCCTAAGGGGGGCTGTTAAGGCACTCAGCAGGGGCACCTCAGAAGAAAAGCCTGGCAGCCCACTTCTGTACAACCAGCCAATGAAAACCCCACGGAGCACCATTCTGCTCTTACACGTATGGGGCTGCCATGAGCCAGCATCAACTCGAGGTAAACAGTAAAGTGGTTGCACAGAAAGAGGACATACAGCCTTCTACAGATGCCAGGAAGAGGAAGACATCTTTCTGGGTGGGGAGCTGTTTATTCCCTTACCACAGTGACCTGGTAAAACCTACGGGAAAAACCCACCCACACATAAAAACCCAGGCTGTAGATTAGTCCCACAAGTTTAATAAAAAATCTCGCTCGATGGAATCCAGAAAGCAAAAATCCTGTATCGGAAGGATTGTGGACAGAGATACGTATGTTTCTTTCTCTAGAAGGAGCCTACTGTCGGGAGATTAAGGTGAAGAAAGGTGTTGTATTTAACCTGGTATCCAAGAAGTCCCGACTCTCGTTCGTCTGGCAGCTCTTCGGTGAATCGTCTCTTCTGTGCCTGAGGCTGAGCTGAGAGTGGGGGCGGGGGCTGGGGCTGGGGCTGGGGCCCAGCAGGCAGGGCAGTTTTGACAGGAGCAGCAGGAATAAAAGGTCCGCTCATGGGACTCTGGGACCAAAACAAAGCAAGGAAGCAATCATGTGAGAACACCCAACTGATGAAAACCAAGGTCACAGTGTGCATCTTATGAATCAACACGCAGCATTCTGTTAGTTTCCTTCGTGGGAACCTTGGTTAACCAGCTGCCTTCAAACCTTTATTCCAAGGAAAATGACCTCTATATAGTACCTCTTTAAACCCTCAAGAAAAACCCGCTATGTCATTTGGGATATGAAAGGCAAACATGCCCATTAACAGGTAGTAAAAACTCCACCTGTGAACTTTGTGCAGGAGACAGACAATAGCAACAATAATCAGTTACTTAGTCCCTTTACCAATATCTTAGCTCTTTCTGTATAATAGTTACTGTTAACACACATGTGGCAAAGGTAACTTCATCTGTCGTTCCCACGGTTATTAGTAAGTTGCTTTGTCAAGAGTAAGGCTGTCTCAGGTTTTAAGAGAGCATGCCAAAACGGAATATACAAGATTATCAAAAGAATATATATTAGGAGAGAAAGCAATTAAAAAAAAAAAATCTATCATTGCCATGAAAAACAGCTCACATTTACTGACAGCCTGGCTCATCTTAGGTAATCTTTGCAACCCTCTAAGATAATAGAATGGCGTGGTTTCATACCCGAGGAAAAGTAAAGCCTGGGTAGATTTAAGTTATAGTCCAAAATCACACAGCTCAAAAATAAAGAAAGTGTGATGATAAGCCCTGACAGGCAGTTCTTAGCCACTGTTAAATTGCTAACTACAAAGGAATGTAGCCCAAAGCTAGGGAACTGTAGCTCTGCTTAAATATAAAACGGACAGCAGCAAGACTAGAGGCCACGTGCAGAACCTAGCTCACAAACCCTCTTCTGGTGTCGCATGTGCGGCCTGTCAGTGCGCACAGCCCTTGGTCATCAGGCTGGGCAATGGTCCGAGGCCGCAGTTTCCTCTGGCAGGAGTACACTGAGAGACCCAAGGAGAAGGGTGCGCCACTAGTCTCCCTCACCCAGACGAGGAGCTAGCTATCGACTTCCTTCCTGAAATTCTACTGCCTTCCACAATTTGAGAAGCAGACACCATTATTCATAATCCTTACGTCTGGAAGCTCAGGGAAACCTATATGTGGTATGTTTCTTTTTTTTCGTTTCTAAAATTAGAATAGCTACGGTAAGTTCCAATCATTCCATCTTAACGCTCCAAAGCCAGGTGTAGGCACACTGCGGCCCATGGTCTATCCTGGCTGGCCACCATTCAAGTTTTCTTAGACCCAGCCATATGCACTCATGTAAGTACTGCATACAGCCGCTTCCATAATATAGGGACCGAGTGGAGCAACTACAACAGAGGCCACATGGCCTGCAAGGCCTAGAACATTTACTAGATGGCCCTTTACTGAGTGTGTCAACTTTTGGGCTAAACAATCTGGTAGCAAGACTTGTGAAACCAACAGCAAGCTTCAGAATGAGACACACGTGTACACGCCGTTCCAAAGTGTTCAGGTAACTTGGTGGTAGGGCCACAGGAAGACAGAAATCAGTCTCATGTAACATGATTTCCTTCTGAATAATACATATCACACTTTCCCCTCTGCCCTCTTCCCCACCCTAGCTTTTTCCTAATTCAGTGGTATCACGTTGCACACGGTGCCATCCTACCTGTCCAGTGCTAGCTGGAGGCTGCACTTGAGTTATCGGGTATTGTGTTGGCACAGGTGGAACTCCAGTAGGTAATGCTGGCAAGACTCCAGGTGCCAATGAAACAGCTGGTGGCACTATGCTTGGTACTCCATAGGGAGGTTGAACTGGCTGCTGAGGAGGGGGAACAACAGGGTAACCAGACTGATAGCCATTGGATGGATAATATGGTGGTTGAGGAGGGACACTACTTATAGCAGAGGGTTGTGTATAGCCTGAGGGGGGAAGAAAAAAAGTGTTTAATCAGCTGCAGCAGAATGAGACATTTTAGCCGAATATTAAACTTAACATCTAGGGGAAGAAAAATACTGAGGCAAGAATGAACTTCCAAATCACCCCAAATTGAAGGGAACATTAGTGCCCTGGCACAGCAGTCTAACTTCAGGTATCATCGTTTGTACCTAACTATAACTAGCTAGGTTTTGTTTTTTTAAATTAAAATAAATACTTGAAGACATACACACCTGGCAAAGGTACAGCAGTATTAATCTGATTCACAAATCTAGAGTATTCAGCATGAACCTGAAACAGAAGGGGAAACAAATTCATCTAGGGCAGATTCAATTCACTTTGTATTTATAAGGGCCTGTTAATACTACCTAAACTGATTGGAATGTAAATGTTTACATATAAGGTGTCAAATTTAAACTTTTGATAAACTTTTAATAGAACTTATAAGGTACATCTAGAAGCTCATTAGGCCAGATTTTAGGAATCAGGCACATGGAAAATTTAAGCCACTCAGGAATTAGGAAATTTTAAAGTCATTTGTATAACCGTTGAGAATCCACTAATTTACTTATTCAACACTTATGGGTGTGAACATGATTAAATGATAAAAATATAAATAGAATTAGGATATGATTTTTGTAGTTTTTCACCTCCAGTTCATTGGAAGAATCCTATTAAGCCTCTAACTCTCAATACCAGAAAAACCTGAGGAACGGCTGGGAAGTTATCTGGCACCCACACGGGCTGGCGAGTCAAGTTAATTGCTCGGAAGCAAGGACAACAGCCCCCCATAAGGATACCCTTACACACCAAATACAAGGTTGAACACATTCAAACCCAAAAGCCTGACTTCCTACAGATGCCATAAATGTAGCCACACAGTTTAACTTTTTGTCACTTCCTTAGAATAAAATGGATGAATAATGAAATAAGCATTTATCCCAAAGACACTACTAATGAAACTACTGTAGCCCCACTTGTCAGCTAAAAAACCGAAGACAAACCCCTCAGTGCTACCGAACTGACTCCGACGCATGGGCACTCTCTTTATGGGAGCAGAAAGCCTCATCTTTCTCTTGCGCAGTTAACCCTTTCACTGCTGACTGACCTTGTCCTCAACAGCTAGCCTTCAGGGAAACCAGGGCTTACCCTTCAGCTAACGTTAATCTTCAAAGGAATTTGTATTGTCCATCAGTAACAAATTAACCACAATCAAAAAGTGATTTAAACAACTGGTAACACGGAAATTCCAAGCTAGAACTCCACACTGGAATACTTCCCAAGTAAGACATTCTCACAGTTGTAACCTTGGCTCTGGGAGCCTAACTTCCTCCTAGAGAATGCTAGTACTATGTTTTTGTTAATCCTATTGCGTCAGTTCTAACCCATAACATGCCTATGCACAACAGAACGAAACAAAGACCAATCCTGTGCCACCCTCCTGCGCCTGAGCCCATTGTGGCAGCCACTGTGTCAGCTCATCTAACTGAGGACCTTCCTAGTCACTATGACCCAATTCACTGCCATCGAATTGATGCAGACTCAGCCACTTTATAGGGCAGGGTGGCACCGTCCCCATAAGTTTCTGAGACTGTAATTCTTTATGGGAGTAGAAAGCCTTAGCTTTCTCCTGAGAAGCAGCTGGTAGTTTCCAACTGCTGACCCTGCAGTTAGCAACCCCAGGCTGAACCACTCCACAACCACAACTCCTTACTACAGGATGAGGAAAACTGCTAAAACACATCCCCCCAAATGACAGTAACTCCTCTGAAAGAGACAAACACAACTCACTGTTTGCAAGAGATTCTCACAGAGCTTCTTGGCAGCAGCTAGGCCTTCTGGTTTGGGATGACTGTAAAGAAAAGAATGGTAACAGAAAAATAAGGGATGTGGAATTCTGCCTTCAATTTCACGCTATTTTGTTTAATGTATTCACTATAGCGCAAACCCAAGCCTCTGAATCACACACGCACAAAAAGCTGTAAATAAGTCCTTCTAGCTAGAACTTGTGTAATCACCACATATATCTTACAAACTTCTCTGAGTATGGTACATCTTGATATAAAATCCCTGTAACCTGTGTTTAAATGGCCATAGGTTTAAATGAAACATTTTAGGCTCATCACTATTTTGAATCAAAGCCTTTAAGACTTGCATAAAACCGAAGACCTTACTGCAATAATTCTCTGAGGTTAGGAGGGCATTCACAGACAAGTCCACCACCTGAGTCAATACTTTGGCTACTGAGTGGCCTGGTGAGTATTCCTAGTGTTGAACCCAAAACCCCTCCCATCACTATGTCAGCCCATTTTCTCTTGCTTTGGGTGTTTCCTGCACAATAATCAGCTGAAAAGGGTTTAAATGTCCTCTACCCCATTCATCCATACCTGATGTAAATATACATAGGTTCAAAAGCTTCTCGGCCAGATGCTGGCTCTATGCAGCCTGAACCTTTGCCCCGGAGGAAGACTTTGGCACCTGTTTCGATCTGAATGTGCTGCAAATAGGAGCAACCTGGCCCTTCCACCTTCTCCTTGACATTGAAAGTGGGCACAGCATGTTCTAGACCCACAAATAATTTATCTTGAACATAATGCATCTGTGAAACAACAGAACTCAGATTAAACAGAGAATATAAGGTAAATACATACTAATCTCGCAGACAATATTTTGACCCCCTAGTAATTTTAATCACATCCAGAAATAAAGAGCCCTGTAATTTCTTCCATGAACATTCAACCAAGCAGTCTGAATTCAAATGAGAATACTATTCAATGTCCTCATGTGAGCACACACCCTCATCGGCTCGGCGAGAGGAGAAGAGAAAAGCCCCGCTATGACACTTGCACCGCCTGAGCCGGCCAGGAACCCACTAAGCGAAAAAGGAATTCCAGCAACACTTGCTCCTGTCTCAGTAAGCGAATGTTGGGTAGTACAGTCAGCCCTGTGACGCTCTCCCTGAGGGCTGCTCTCTCCACCCCTTTCGTCTAGGAGGATTGTATCAGCAGAGTCTTGCTTCATCAGACTCAGCCTTCTTAGTCCTCCAGTTGCTATCAAGCTCACAAATACCAGCCACTAACTTGAAAACATACCATGTTTATACCCTTTGATCAACCTTCTTCCCAGAGAACCGGTATGAGAGAGGTGGGTTTCAGATGCCCATGACACCCTGGATGTCCACATTATCCACTGTGGGAAACTTCCAGGTTAGAATTTCAAGGAACGATTAAGGAGCCCTTCACCAAACATACCCCTGCCTGGAAAGGAGGCTTGTGGCTCACGGCTGGAGCCAGCTGAGCGACGGGTGCAGGCTGGTGATAAACAGTGACTGTTGCGTCATTAAAAGTTGGACTTGTGCCCGTGGCAGCCTTCACCACCCCATTGGTGATAATTTCTTTGATTCGGTTTACAGCTCCTAGAGAGAGAGAGATAGCAAAACACTATGCCAGAGAACCGAATGAAACGCCTCGAGCCCGATGCGTAGGATGGCACCTGGTTCAAGTGTGCAAGCAGTACCGTTTCATAGGTGCTTCCCAAGCTCCAGGCACACATTTGTACAAAGTCCATAAACCAAGAGTTAAAAGTCACCAGAGTTTGCCAAGTTGTTACACAGAGTTCTGAAATACACCCTTCACAAGAAAGTCACGAGTCAAAGATATTACTTACTATCCACCAATTCCCGGGTCTGACCCTGAACATGAAGATATAAAGGACGATCCCTATAAAGAGATATAAAATGATTATTGCTACCTAGCTTAGCCACGGAAGCAAAGCTGTTCCCAACTTTAATTTGTAATTTAAAAAGAGCGTATACACATTGAGTATTGAATTACAGTGCTTAAGAACATGGTTATTACAGCTATACAACAAATTCTTCTTGTTTAGAGTTAAATGGTCCAGGTAAGGATTCATTCTATGCTATGGGCTCATTTAATAGTATTCCATCGAGGTAACCCCAAGTTGAAGAAAATAATTTTTTTGTTGGACACCAATAAGTTACAGCAGATACTTTCTGCCTTTAACTACGCAAATGAAGCAGACCCATACCAACTACGGAAACTCTAGGATCTGGCACTAAGATTCAGATCCTGATCGTGAACAAAGTGATCAGCACCCATATGCTTCGCAGAAGGCAGAAGCGAAGAGGAAATGCAAAATGGCAACTAGCACCCAGACGATAATTCTTACATTTGCCTTTGACATGCACGCTTGGCTTTGGGTGAGAACACATTTTACCTCCTAATTAAGTTTAAGCCAATGTTAACACACTGCACCCTAAGCTCAAACACTAAACAATGGGAGAAACGAAGCTGTTACATATTTACACAGACAACCTACATTCCATGTCATAGGCATGAGAAAGGAAGCCGTATTTTTAACGGAGGACAACAGAATATGTGCTTTTACGAAGGGAAGGGGCCCTGGTGGCGCAGTGGTTACCAGTCGGGCTGTTAACTGCAAGGTCACCACTTCAAACCACCGCTCGTTCTTCAGGAGAAAGGCGAGCTCTGAGAACCCACAAGGGCAGTTCTACTCTGCATACAATTTGGCTCAACCGCAGGGGGTTTTGGGGGTGAAATGTCTTCGTGGGGAGGGAAATAGTTTAGAAGCATGAAAATTAAAGATTAACAATTATTTTCCTTTACAGTTTCTTGTAATTAAGTCTCCTTCAATAAAAATCATTGTGAGGAAAACAGTTGCCAACATTTCTTACACCTATTTGAGACATTCAGAAGCCTGCTTCACTGCATATCCTCAAGAACGGACAACAGGAAGCTAATAGGAGCCATCCACCCAACCCTTCCCCGAAGGAGAGGACACACAGACACACCCGGGTCCCACTTTGGCCTTCTCCTCAGCTGTCAGGAATCTCCCTCGAGTTGACACTGCAGCCCCACTGAGTCTGCTGATCTAAGAAGGAAAATGTTCCATTAGAATGATGCAATCACACTGCGGCAGATAAGAGCCTGAAACACAGGGAATGCAGGAGAGATAAACCCCTCAGGGCCAACAAGGAGAGTAGATACCAGGATTAGGGGAGGGTGGGGGGAGAAAAGGGGAATCGATCACAAGGATCAACTAGAACCCCCTCCCAGGGGGACAAATAACGGAAAAGTGGGTGAGGGGCAACGAAGGACGATGTAAGATATGAAAACAATAATCTATAACTTATTAAGGGTTTGTGAGGGAGGGCAGGAGGGGGAAGAAATGGGGAGCTGATATCAGAGGCTCAAGTGGGAAGAGATGCTTTGAAAATGATGGCAGCATATGTACTTGACACACTGGAGGAATGAATGGATTGTGTTAAAAGCTGTAAGAGCTCCCAATAAAAGTACGGGTGGGGTGGGGTGGGGGTTTAAAATTAAAAAATAAGAGGGAGGTGGGTATGTGATCATTCGTTGATTCCCATGGCAGACAGCAGCACGGTTTTCTCCTTCATTCACCATTAAGGTAGGAATATGCTCTCTACTTGAAAATTCAATTCGTTTCTTGATCAAACAATCCCAGTTCACATTTCAAGACCTTCACTTAGAATAGTGTTCCCCAAGTGGGTGATAACACTCCCCCTGGGACTCTGCAACCATCCAGAGGATGCTGCAAGTGTACATACCTACACTTCTCTCCTGGATTGTGGGCTACAGTATATGTTTTCAATTGCCAGGGGGGTGCAGGAACACGTTTTTCTTCTTGCAAAGGGGGTGGTAGGCCAAGTAAGTTTGGGAACTTCTGATTTAGAAGCTGCTCCTTTTCAGTTAAACTAAACCCAACTGTGATTTTGATGCTATGACCCAATCCCACTAACAAACCACTGACTCCTACTCGTGCTTGAGCACTGGTGGCCCAGGGCTTAAAGGGCACAACTGAAAGGCTGGCAGTGTGTGCCCACCAGCCACCATGCGGGACAAAGAGGTGGCGGTCTGCTTCCGTAGAGATGTACAGCCTTGGCAATCCTAGAAATGGACATCGTATTTGGTAAAGAGGAGGGCCTGTGGAGAAGAGGAAGCCCCTTCGTGAGATGCACTGACACCGGCTGCAGCAGTGAGCTCGAGGATGGGGCAAGACTGGGCTGTGCTTCCTTTTTGTTGTTGGGTCTCTGTGAGTTGGAGCGAATGCAACAGCACTTAACCACAAACAGCAGCACCCTATGGGGCAGCTCTACTCTGCCCTACAGGGTGGCTGCCAGTTAGAATTGATGGTTGTGGGTGTTCATTTGTTGAGTTCTGGGTTTTTCGGTTGGTTGGATTAGAGGTCCTTTTTTTTTTTTTAAATGACACCCATCTCTATCTTCCCCAAATAAGGGGCCCCACTACTCCACACCTCATCCTGAGTCTGTCCTCGAGTCAGCAAGTTCCTGCAGGTGAGAGGCACATCGTTGATTTCTACTTCAGCTACCACCAGGTCGTCCTTGCTTTTACTGCTAGTCAGGCCTTTGCCAGGTGCCTGAAGCTACAAAAAGGGAGAGATCAGATTAAAATGTTTATGCAATAGAATTTAATCTTCTAGTGACCCATTTTTCAACCATTTATTCCCAAGTCCCACCATCTCACTATCTTTCCGTTCACCTGCCAGCAAACACACTTGGAAATACTTTCTGGTCATTCTCCACAAATGAAATAAATATTTACAGCAAGTAGCCAATTTACTTGAAGGCCATCATCAGATTTCTCTGATCATGTATGTAATTACAGGAGCGCTATGGAGTAGGAGCTGCAACTTCTAAAGAATACTAGAGTGGAGTGATGATGCCTTACAGCTAGGTGCCGGAGTAGTAAAACAAAGGTGGAGTTCAAGCCTAACAACCCATGCGACCTGCTCCTAGGAGAGTTGTTTCCTTTATGACAAACACAGAGTAACAGCACATGAAACTACTCCACTTGGATGGCTAACCAATCTGCTCAAGAAGATAAAATACAAGGAGACTTCAAAAAAAACCCCAAAACCCCAAGGGAAAAATGGAATAAAACGATAATGGAGCAATCAAGAAACAAAATGTGTATGAATTACTGAGTGGAAAACTGATCTATTTTGAAAATCTTCACCCAACTTATAGTAAGTTTTAAACACAATGGTCCCGTGAATTTTCAAATGCCCTTTTGTGCATCAGATATTTTTAAAATATGGAGGCAAATTAAATACAGACTCATCACTTGACCTTCTAGCACTTTACATTTATCTCACTGAACCCTTATGATCACTATCTTAAAGGTATATATCAGTGATATCCAACAGAGCTGCCTATGATGATGCAAATGTTTTCGATCTGTGCAGTCTGGTGTGGCTGTCACTAGTCACATGGCTACTAAGCACCTGTGACTGAGGAACTATTAAATTTTCCTTAACTTAAACAGCCACATGTTGGACAGCACAGGCATGATTACAAGAAACTGACACTCAGTGGGATAAACACACAAGACATAACTGAGGGTTCCGGGTTTCAAAGCCAGACCTTCAGATTCTAAATTCAGTATTCTTTATAAACCATAAAAATCTACTGATTAATGTCAAGGTCACTAATAATGACATTTAAGCCTCCAGACAGGTTATAACCAACTGACTAAATCTATAGAACTAGAAAGCTTAACAAAAGAGTACACTTTCAAACACAGAACTCACCTCTTCACATGTAACATGGAAGGAAAATTTTAATTTAAAGCAAAACTATTTTCTTACATGAACATTTCTCAAAGTGAATGGGCAGCTTTGAAACATGGAATTCTCTTTACTCTAGAGGTTTTCAAAGCAGCCTTGGTGGTGGAGTGGGTTACACGCAAGGCTGCTAACAGCAAGGTCAGCAGTTTGAAACCACCAGTTGCTCCACCACAGAAAGGTGCTTTTTATGCTGTAAAGTGACACAGCCTTGGAAACCCACAGGGGCAAGTTCGACCCTCTCCTACAGGGTTGCTATGAATCTGAACCTACTCAATGGCAATGAGTTTCAATTGAGAGGTTTTCAAACAAACTAGATGCCCAACCATCAGAAGGAGCTCAGTCAGAGGCTTACACCTACCACTTGCAGATCTTGGGCTAGTTATTCTATTTAATTCTTGAGACCAATTTTCCACATCTGTACACTGCTGACAATAATCGATTACACAATTCTTTTAAGGTTTGGGTGGTGGTGGTGTGGGGGTGCAAAACAAGCATTCTAGTAACAACTAGCCTTTCTAATTATTACCCTACAAGAGTACTTTTACCCTTACGGCAGGATAAGCCCTACGCTTCTATACCAGGATTTTTTTTTAACCAGGAATTTTTTTATGCCTAAATCCCTCAACTTGTAAACGAAGAACCAAACAACCCATACATAAATTAACCATCTCTTGGGCTAACGCTTAATTGTCCAGTAGGTCAGTGAGAAAGAGGAAGACCCTCAACTAGGTAAGACTAACTTGGTGACTGCAACAATGGCTCAAACACAGCAAGAACGGTTGAAACGGCAGAGGACCCAACAGTGGTTTCTTCTGTTAAACAGGAGGTGGGTCGGAACAAATTCAATGGCATCTAACCACAACAGTTAAGTAGTCACTAAGTAAACATCTGTCGTTCGAACAAGAGATGTTACTCAGAGCTCATTTTACCTGAACTTCTTTTGTCTTCAGAGAACATGCCCATCCTTTAAATGAATATATAGATACAACTTAAACTGAACTATGCAAACATGAACAAAATAAGCCACTTGGTCCTTTCACAAGCCCACTCACAACTGCCTCAGAAAAACAAGTACTGACAAAACACCATGGGGTAAATCCCAAAAGGAAAGGCTCTTTAAAGTAGGATACCATTGTTTTCCCTTTACATGAACACAAACGACTGCAGGATTCCAAATAACGTCTAAGAAATGGGCAAAGGACCCCGTCAACTTCCAGTACCTTCTCAGCAGCATTCTGAGTTGGTTTCAGTTTGCCTTTGGCCATGAGCATGGCATTGATCTTGGCAGCCACCGCGGCAGCAGCATCCAAGGCTCCTGAGGGCGCGGCTGCGGAGCCCCCAGGGCTGCCCCCACTGCAGGGGACCTCTCCACCAGGAGCCGCAGGTGGGAGAAAGAGAAGTGGGGCTGGAGCTGGCTGGTCCCATTTACTGCGACGCCTACAGGACGGGAAAGGCAAACATTAGGCGCCAGAGCTTCCATTGCCATCTGCTCCTCCTTCACCTTTAGCCCCTCAATTGCCCACTCTCCCGTTCCCTTTACGGCTTCGGACCTTCCCCCAACTCTAAAATCCCCTCTCTCCTTAAAGTACGTCCGTTGGTGCGTTAACTTCCCTAGCCCCCCACCTCTTTCAACCCTTCCCCGGCATCTTCGTCCAGTCACCTCTGCGGAGAGACTTGGCGCTGGACCACACGCTCGCGTTTCCCCCTTCATCTGGGCCGGCCTTTCAAAAGCCCCTGCTCCCCTCCTCTCTTTGCTGCCCGCCAACCCTTTTCAGGGACCCCCGACAGGCCGGACCTCCAATCCGTACACCCCCCCCGCTTCCGCGCCCCTCCACACCCACGCAGCGGCCCAGAGTCCCGCCGCACTGCCCGCGGCCCCACGCCCACGCCCGCCCTCGCCCCCTCGCCTCACCCGCCAGCGCCAGGGTGCGTCGCGCTCCCCGCGGACATGGCGACCGGCTCTGCCTAACCACCCGCCAACGACCCACTACCCCTGCCCGTCACTTCCGCCCCACGCCCTCACGCACGGGCACTTCCGGTTCCGCGGCCGAGAGGTTCCGGTGACGTTGTGGGTTCCGATTGGGCGCTCGGGGGTTTCACGCCGTCTCGCGGTAGCGGAGGCAGGTAGGCTGCGGGCGTCCCGCTGGCGCCTCCCCTTTGAGGAAGGCGGTGGCTCCTTCGCGCTTAGAGGCGGAACTGGGGCCCGAAGACTCCATCTTTGTCGTGGGCAAGGAGGTAGACAAGGAGACCAGACGCGTGAGTCAGGGCATCCAACCGACGGCCTGCTCAGGTGTGCGGCCTTTCACTTTCTGCCGAGCAGAGACTTCCCGCGACTCGTACCCCCGTGACACTTTAGTGACTTCCCGAGGGAAAAGGAGATGATCCGTTTGCCAAGTCACCTGAAGAATGTCTCTAGTTTTTGTTTGATGTCTGTGCGTCCAGCACTGCTCCCAGGGCAGGGGATACGATCGCGATGGCGGCCTGTCTGGCACCGCGCGGCGGGTGGGCACGAGGCCAGCCCGCGTCCCAGAGGCGGCGGGGCAGCGGCTGCGAGCTCGGCCCCGCCCGCCGCCCTGCAGGAGGGAGATGAGACGGATTTACCTTGGATGCCGTCCTGGGCCGTTCGGCTGCCCCCTAGGGTGCCGCTCTGAATGGTTTGCTTGGAATCCTGAGAGAGAGCGGGAGACAGGCCATCGCGATGCGGTATCTAAGCAGAGACTTGAAGGACACCCAAGTTACACCGCGTGGAGGGCCGGAGAGAGCCATCCGACGTGGCGAAACGCCGATTCCGACATCTGTGCGCTTACCTTTGGGCTAGCGGAGGAGGGGCCGGGTGGACCCTGAAAGGGTTTGAGCCCCGTGCTAAGGCGCTTGAGCTGATTTTGGAGGCCAGAGATGTCCAACACGTGAGGTATCTTAGAGATACAAGACTGAATACATAAAACATAATGCTATTTTTCAAGTAACTAGATACTGTTATGGTCGGTAATATGAAGTTAACTTGAAAACCAAATGTATAGGACCTCGCCATCCCTCACTGCATCTGGCTGACGCGGCCTTACAGGACAGGTAGAGCTGCCCCTGTATCTTTCTCCCACAGAGCACCTGATGGCTTCAAATGCTGACTTTGTGGTCAGAAGCCCAAAAAACCTGTGGGGAAATGGAATTTTAAAATAAAGGAATTTCTCCACAAACTTTTTGAAACCCTCTTGATATGAAATGGCAATGGCATATACACACATAACATTTCTGCCTTCTCTTATATTCCATTTATCTTTGGATTCTTTGGCTAGACTGTTCTGATTGGAGTAGCCCTTTGTATGTTGGAGTAGCTGGTGGGGCCATGGATTAGCAGTACCCTTTTTCCTTCTAGAGACAGGCTAGCCAGTCTAGAGAACAATTGAGAAGGCTCATCCTGATTTTTTTTCTCTAGAAACACTCTATACGAGCTTCTCCAGAGGACCAAGACCAATGAAAGAAAGAGACAGAGAGGAGGAGGAGAGAAGAAAGAGGAAAGAGAATTACATATTCCTTGAACTTGTCCTGTAACATCCCTCTCCCCCCCCCATTTTCAGAATGGATAATTGGAGTAGGCATGCTCAGTCATTACCAGAAGCCCCACAATGAATCTTTGATAGATGAAGCAGGGGCTTATGGTAGTGGAAACCATTAGAACTGCCTCTGCCTAGCAAAATAGTAAACCCAAAGCAGTATTACATTTCTAGAGGGATTACAGAAATTAATCTCAGCGTCAAAGACTTAAAGGTGATTCCCATTGTATCCTCATTCAAGTTGCCTATTTGACCTGTGCAAAAAGTGGATGGATCTTGTAGAATGACAGTGAATTATCATAAGTTTATCCAGGTGGTGACTCCAATTGAAGTTGCTGTTACAGATGTGGTTTCAATGCATGAGCAAATTAATACTACATCTGGTACACTTGGTATGCAGCTAGTGATCTAACCAATGTCTTTTTCTTAATTGTGGTTCTGAAGAAACACCAGAAACAGTTGCCTTCAGCTGGAAAGACCAGCAATACACCTCCACTGTCTTCCCTCAAATATAGAAACTTTCCAGCACTATGTTATAATTTAGTCACAGGGATCTGGATAGTCTTTTCCTTCCACAAGGTATCACACTGGTCCATTATGACCCAGGCTGATCGGGCCTAGTAAGGAATAAGTGTCAATGGCCTTAGACATATTAGGAAGATATTTGCATGCTAGATGGTGGGGAATTAAACGGATAAAAACTCAGACACCACTGGGGGGTTTAAGTGGAAAGGAAGTGTTTTGAGAATGATGAGGGCAATGAATGTACAAATGCGCTTTACACAATTGATGTGTGTATGGATTGTGATAAGAGTCTTATGAAATACTACTCTTAAAAAAAAAAAACTCAGACACCTGCTGCCTCGATGGAATTTCTAGCAGCTCAATGTGTGTGGACATGTGGAAATATTTCTTCTGAAGTGAAGGATAAATTATTACACCTGGCCTCACATACAACTAAAAAGGAGGCACAATGCCTAATGGGTCTCTTTGGATTTTAGAGGCAAGTATATTCCTCACTTGTGTGTAATGCTCTGATCTATTTATCAAATGACTCAAAAAGCTGCTACTTTTTAGTGGGATCCAGAAAAGACAAGGCTGGGCAAGCTGACCTGCCGCTTGAATTATATCATCTACCTGATCCAATGGTGCAAGTGGTAGTGGCAGAGAGAGATGCTGTTTGGAGTCTTTGTCAGGTTCTTATTGGTGAATCGTAGTATGGATGCTTAGCGTTTGGGAGAAAAGTTCTGCCATCCTCTGCCGGTAACTACTCTCCTTTTGGGAAATAGCTGTTGACTTGTTACTGGGCCTTAGTAGCAACTGCATTCTTAACTTTGGGCCAAGTAACTATGTGGCCTATTTTCTGGCTCACAGAGTCTTAAAGTCAGACATGCACAACTGCACCCTTTATTAACTGGAAGTGGTATGTACAAGATTGTGCTCAAGCAGAACTTGAAGGCATAAATAGGTTACACGAGGAAGTGACTCAAATCCCCACTCCTGTCACAGTGACTTCTGAGATATAGTCAGTTACTTGCTGTGGCTGTTCTAGCCATAACTCCTTTTGTGATGTATTATGCATTCCAGCCTCTGTGCCAGCGGTTATCGTTCTACTTTGGAAGGAGCTCTTCGTTACAGGATTAGAATGGGATGCATTCTGAGTCTCGACCTGAGTAGAGGGTCTGATACAAGCCGCTGCCTTTTGTTTCTTTGGGGGTCTGACCTGCTGAAAAACAAAGCCCACACATCCGTCAAAGCCTTCCCTTCTGTGATCAGCAGCGTGAAAGAAGCAAGATGGCCTGCTTTGACTTTCCAACATTTTTGGCTCTGGTTCTGGACCCTACATTCTGCTCACCTCCGTTTGACCTCCAGTTTCTGACTTTGTGTTGTGATCTATCACCTGTCTTGATTTGTGGCCTGTCTTGATTTCACTAGCGTCTTCAGGTTCGTGGATGAGGAAGATCCGCCCGACAGAGGGCAAAGTGTCAGATTTGGGAATTAATAGCACCCACAATCACCTGAGCCATGTTCTTTCTTTTTTTCAAAAGCATTTTACTGGGAGCTAATGCTGATTTCATTCCACTGTTGAATCTCATCCAGCAGTATTGTACAATTGCTACCACAAGCAATTTCAACCATTTTTATAATGGAGTTCAGTGAGACATGGTAACACATGATCAAACCTAGCATAGAAGTAGCATGCTACGGGAGGAGGGACTGGTTTCCTAATAGGTAAGGAAGGATAGAGAGCGGAGGCAGGTGTGTCTACCTCGGCTTCAGGGCAATAGGGAAGCCAGAGGAGGTCAGATGTAGCCACTGAGCTCTTCGCTCACCCAGTTCCTGACAATGGCCTGAGGAAGAGAAAACTTACCCCAGGTTCTGTGTGATAGACAGACCCCACTCAGAAGGACACAGATGAAGGGAAGGTGGCTTCCTGATTTCACCTGATTGTTCTTTTTGCTTGGAAGGAGAAATGGTCAGATGTGTGGCTGTATATTGATTCATGGAATATGGTCAATGGTTTGGCTGGTTGGCCAGGGATTTGGAAAGAAAATGATTAGAAAATTGGTGGCAAGGAAGTATGGGGACATGGCATCTGGATAAACCCCTTTGAATGGGCCAAAAGTAAGGATATTTGTGTCTAATGTGAATGCGCACTAAAAAGAGCGACCTCAGAAGAGGATTGTAGCAAGTGGATGGGATGATGCATGCTGTGGCTGTCAGTCAGCCTCTTTCCCCAGCCACTTCCTGTCATTGCCTAATGGGCTCGTGTACAAAGTGGTCATGGTGGTAGAGGTGGAAATTGTGCATGGATCAGCGACATGCACTTCCACTCACCAAGGCTGACTTGGCTACAGCCACTGCTGAGTGTCCACCCTGGCCAGCAGCAGATGCCAACACTGAAGCCCTCATATGGTACTATTCCTGGGGACAACCTGGGGGCAAAGTGATGACCTTGGACCACTTCCATGAAGGAAAGGACAGTATTTTGTTCTTTCTGTGATAGACACTCTGCATACAGGTTTGCTTTCCCTTGCGTACAACACTTCGCCCACACTACCATTCATGGTATCAAAGTATCCCATATTGCACTAGGGTCAAGGGACTCACTCCACAACAAATAAGTCTACCATGGGGGTCAGAGAGAGCGGTGGTCTCGCCATGTTCCCCATCAACCTGAAGCACTTGACTTGATAGAATAATGAAATGTCTTTCTAAAGATACAATTATGGCACCAACTAGATGGTCATACCTCACAGGGTTGGGACAATGTTCTCCAAGAGGCTGTGTATTTCTAAACTAGCATCCAAAAAACTAGCATCCAATATGTGGTGCTGTTTCTTCCATAGCCAGTATTTCTGGGTTATGTAAAACATAACTTCCTTAAGTAGTGTTGCTGTAAGAGAAATACCCCAATGGGGTGGCTT